GTGGGAGATCCGTCCACTATAGTGCCAGTTGAAACTATTGAGGTTAATGAAGAACTGTCATATGAAGAAGTTCCAGTTGCCATTCTTGACAGGCAAGTCCGGAAATTGAGAAATAAGGAAATTGCCTCCGTAAAGGTGCTATGGTGGAACCAGCAGGTTGAGGAAGCCACTTGGGAAGCCGAGGAAGAAATGAGAAGGAAGTACCCACATTTGTTTGTATAGCCATGTAATAGCTTTTATGCATTTGGTTCCTATGAACTCTGTATCCTTTGAATTGGTCTATGTAAAAACTGTTCCGTTTCTTTCTGGGTATATGTTGCCTATGCAGCCATCGTTAGTATTGCACAGGTTATGTTATGTCTATGGAATATGTATACGCTGTTAGGACATGTTTTTGGGGCTCTCTGACAGGTGGATAGGCCTAGATACAAAGGAAACTCTGGCAAAATTTTTGGAAATTTAGGGAGTTAGCCAAATTTGGGGCTGTTGATACGTTTCATGTTGTGAAAAGCTGAGGTTGCATAAAGATTGCTAATGAGTGAACCTTGATCCTCATTCGAGGACGAATGATCCTAAGTGGGGGAGGATGTAAGGACCCGTGAAAATTTCTACTCAAAAACCCGAAATCTCGTAGTGCCAAGTTAGGAATATGTGTTAGAAATTTGTAAAATTCTTCGCGGCGACTGATCTATACATTAAGAAGTTAAGGAATAAGGTTTTCCAGAAAAGTGTGTTTATGCGGTCCATTATGAAGTCACATAATAGCTATGCGGACCGCATAGTCGCCGCAGAGTCCGAGAGTTTGATGGTTAATTTTGAGGTCAACTATGCGGCCCATTATGCGATCGCATAATCAATATGCGGGCCGCATAGTCATCGCATAATCCCCTTGGAATTTTGCGAGAGGCAGTTCTGCGGTGCATTATGCGACCGCAGAACAGGTATGCGGACCGCATTTTTGTCGCAAACCCGGGTAGTTTGTTCAGGTTTTTGAAGCCACTTTTGCAGTCCCTTTTGCGGGCCGCATATCCATTATGCGATCGCAGATTGTATCGGGGCTCCTATTTTCTAACTTTTAAAACCCGACCCCATCCCATTAAAAACACCCCATTAGACCCCTTTTATGTTATTTTACTGCAAATAGAGTGAGAAAGGAAGTTCTAGAGAGAGAGAGAGAGTGATCTTCATCAAGTCCCCACCCAATCCTTGCCTAAACCCTTGAAGAATTTCAAGTACAGTTGCTAGGCCTTCACCCCAAGAGGTAAGAACTTTAGCCCTAACCTTTGGCTTCGAAATTCACACTAGAATGAGGAATTAGCTTGTGGGTTCATGGGTATAAAAAAACGGATTTTCTTGCATGCATAAAAGATAATAGGTTATGGGGAGGTTGTGAACTAAAAAGATAGCAATTGGGGTGCAAGATGGTGAAAATCCTTCACAAAAGGATCCTAAAAATCACAATGCACACTTAGTGCTTGCTAATATGCTTAAATAAGCTAGAACCTTAATCATGTCTCTAATTCTTGGTTCAACTTGCAAATTTCATAAAATAGATCGAAGTTGCTAGAAAATTCCGGAATTTATTGTAAGGATTTAAGGAAAGCTCTATTGAGGTATGTATGGCTAAAACCCTCTCCTCTTAGAAATTGAGCTTCCATGGTGTCCGTGCAAATGTGGTAAGTCCGAAATTTGATTGATGTAGTACTTGTTATGTCAAATGAATTGATGTTGTGAAAATGTATGTGGAAGTTGATTCTCCATGTGTTTAATGTGCTATTCTTTGTAAAATTGAGGATGTGTGGAGAACATGAGCTATGTGCTAAGGGGTCGTTTGGTTGCCGGTTAAAGTTATGCAGGTATTAGTTATACATGTATTAGTTATGCAGGTATTAGTTATGTATGTATTCGTTATGCAAGAATAAGTAATGCAGGGATTACTTATGCATGCATTAGTTATGCAAGGATTAGTCCTTGAGTAGTGCACGTGAAATTCAAAAAAAAGGTCATGCTAATTGTAGTGTATATAATTCTTTCTTGGATTTTGGTTGTAATTTCTTGCTATATTGTTACTACACTTATTTAGTAATTCTAAAATAATCATAGTACAAGAATTGTTATTTGCGGTAGAAAACGAACAATGAAAAGTTTGCTGGAGAAAATGGCAATGATTTGTGGTAAATTGATAGGGGTGAATTTGTCATTTCAGTATTTTATCCATGTATTACTAATACATGTATTAGTTATTCCATCTTCTCCCCCGCATAAAATAACACACAGATTGACTCATAACTTATACATGTATTATTTATGTAGAATTGTAAAATGCCAACCAAACATGGTATTAGTTATGCTGAATTTTTTACAAAATAACTAATGGCTACCAAACATGGTATAAGTTATGTTACCCCTAATACATGAATAACTTTTCCCCTAACCGGCTACCAAACGACCCCAAAGTGCATACGTACATTAGTTCCTCTAAACACCTTCCAATTTCTAGTTTTCCATGTCTGGTAGATCATTGCTCCATACACAACAGCCATTATCTCCTTTGTACACTTCTTCCAATGTTTCCGTATGATACTGTCAATGTTTCCTTTTTGCTCATATGTGGAATGACAAACCCTGTCCATGCTTGCATCTCTCCCCTGAGTGTAGAAAACCATCTGCACTCCCCAAATAAATGCTGATCAGTTTCCAGTACATCCTCTTCACACAAACAACACTTGTCATTCTCACAGGGAATGTTCATCATCAATAGTCTATCTTTAGTCTGCAACTTATAATTACCCTGCAAAGCCAACCAAACAATACACCTATGGCTAGGCAAGGATATAGCCCCCCAAACTAGCTTGGAAATACTAATTTTTGTTTAAGGCCCCAGCACAGCTATATAGCTACTTGAGGCAGAGTAAGCACCAGAGGAAGTCAATTGGTATTTATCATTACAATACCAGAGCCGCATTTCATTCTTCAGCTTATGCAATCTGCTGGAGGAGTGTCCATCCAGAAATTTATTCCAGGCTTTATATACAAACCATGCACCCATTTGACCCATAAACCTTCCTTCTTCGCTATCAGTAACCAAATCAGCTTCCCTACCAAAGCGGTAATCCATTTCTTGCGACATCTAATATTCAACTCAAGAAACAAAGTTGTAGTGCTACTTCCGTAAATTGGATTTTACGTGAGGAGTATCCTGCTAGACTAATAAAGTGTCTCTTTAGGATTCTTTACATAAACTATTAACACGATAATTAAAATTCAGTTCTTTGTTGCAGGTAAAAAATTGAGATTCGGCTAGAATGCTTGAGTTGTTTCGGACGAACAGGGATACAAAAAAGTAACAAAAGAGGCATGCAGACCTATTAATTGTATTGGTTGTACGTTTATCAGGGAGTTTCTTCTCTTGGTCTCTACCTCCATAAATGGCCGGAGCTCGTGTAGTCAATAAAGTATGTATAGACCTTGGAGATCAGGATTCATCCTCACAGAGACAAAAAGTATTTACCCTAGCTAAGCCCTGCTGGGAGGTAGTATGTGTGTGGTGGAATAGTCGAGGTGCGCGCAAGCTGATCTCGACAACACTATTATATATATTTATATAAAATCCATGAACGGCTGGTGGGTGGAGGTAGATTTCCAGAGCTAATATCGATAAATCAAAGGTTGCGTTGTCATATGAAATAAGAAGAGTACTGTACACAGGGGCGGAGCTAGCCCATCAATTACGGGTTCGGCCAAACCCTGTCGCTTTGATTCAATCCATGTATTTGTCTTAGAAATCCATTAAATATATATAAATTTTTAATTAGAACCCAGTAACTTAAAATAATTAGAACCCCAAATCCATAAACTTTAACTCCTGGCTCCGCCTCTGAGTGTTCAATGGATGGATTAAGCCATAGATCATATCGAAGAACAACGTTTGTACTCCTCCATTGTTATCTATTAAGATTCTATAAAAGCTTCATGCTTTCGCTTCCCTGTTTCGCCATCTACTTGAGTTTTTAAATCCACAGATTTGGCCCTGTATTTGTGAAGACTACTGAATGCGTTTTATAAAGTATTGGTGATTTTCAGAATTCATGACTTAGAAAAAATTACGTGGTCTAATAAGTACTCTCCATGCACAACAGTTGCTACACGGTGGTTGAGTGGTTCTTTTTCCCTTTTCTACAATCTTTGACAGTTTGGAAACACTTGCAACCACACAATCTTGGAAAGAAAGAGAAGTATTGTTAATATTCCGAGCGTACAAAATTAGGTAATCAAGAAATCATGTGATTGCAGGAGTAAACTAATTTATTTAACTTGAAACTTGTATCCACCGACGGATCATTCGAGTGGTGGAAGTCGCAAGATAAGCTGTTTACATTACATCTCTTGATATGCGCCCCTTCTTAGGACCCTGCATGAATGCAAGACACTTACCGGAATTTGTATATATCTACCATCTATATTCATCTAACTCCATACGTTAAATTCAAGCACAAGACGTGAATCACATGATATATAGGTGACTAAAACAAATTCTCACTCGGTTGACTTTTGGGGTAAGAATTTCCATGGGCAAAGGAAATAAAACAAAATTTTATCTTATTGAATCCCTTGATTTAAATTAAAATAATATAAAAATTATTTTAGGTCACAAGTTCGAATTCCAGGCGTACTTGCATTTTGTTTTGGATCCCAAATTTTTTGCTTTGCCACTGAAATTTTCCATTACTGATTCCAATCAACCCCACCATCAAGAAACATAACTTGCTCTTCCTCTTCAATTTACTAAAGTTTCAGATAGAGCAAGAAGCATCACTTTTCGTGTAGGCATAATATATTCTTAATTACTGGGACCAAAAGTGGGACAATATATTCCTAAGCAATTCCCAGAATATGGAAACCAAAAGTTTTCTAATATTCCACCATGCATATCACGAACAAAGATATTAATATTCCTACATATAAATGGAACAATCAAATTCAGATACAATAATCTGTGGCAGTAACAATTGGAATTACTGTCGAGAAAAATAATGTCTAGCAATAATAATAAGCAACATTTCAAGGTTTGCTTCTGCTGGTCACGAGGATTCAAGTTAAGGGGAGGTGAAATACCAGAAGATATAAAGCAAGTCTTTGAATCTTACTCAGTAAATGGGATTATGAGCATAGATAATCTAATTAGTTTCTTAGAGAAAGAACAGAAGGAGGTGAATGTAACAAAAGAGGCCCAAAATATATTCAATAGCCTCAAGCATCATCACAATATTGTCCACAAAAGAGGATTAAATCTTGATGCTTTCTTTAAATATCTTATTGGTGATTATAACTTTGCTCACCAGTCTAAGGTATTAAAATTATCTTTGTCAATTAATTCTCCTTTAGATACACTTGTTTACTTAATTTCTGTCTATTGTTGGTTATTTAGGTCCACCAAAATATGGATGCTCCTTTGGCTCATTATTATATATACACTGGACATAACTCTTACTTAACTGGAAACCAGCTGAGCAGTGATTGTAGTACTGAACCAATAAAGAAGGCATTAAAGAAAGGAGTTAGAGTGATTGAATTGGACCTTTGGCCTAATATTACCAAAGATGATATCGATGTTCGTCACGGAGGGTAACTATTTCTGTTTGGGGAGAAATTCTTTGATTCCGTATTGAATATAGATCCTCGTCTTTCTTGTTTCACTAGCTAAGACCAAATTTTACATGTCTGTTTATTATTACCTGTTTTTTTATATAAAATTAAAATCAGATTTTCATGACTGTTTATTATGACCTTCTTTTTAATGTTAAAGAAAGCAAATTCTCATTTAATCTCGGCTGTTCTGAACATAGATCTTTCCTTTTTCATTCTTATTTAAAAAGACATCAAATTCTGGATCCAATTTACAATGAGATGTAAACGACAATAGAACTGAAGAGATTACCAAAGATAATAAACGACGATAAATTCTAACATCACTATGAAATTGAAAGCTTACGATCAATATTCCAATTAATTAGTCTTTATTTTATTCCTAAAACTGCAGGACACTGACAACTCCTGTTAAACTAAGCAAATGTCTGAAAGCCATAAAGGAGGTTGCTTTCTCAAATTCTGAATATCCTGTTATATTAACATTTGAAGACCACCTTCATCCTTACCCACACCTTCAAAAAAAAGTCGCTCAGGTGAAACCTATATATATATATATTTCAATTTATTGTTTCAAGGTAACACATGACTGCAATATAAAGAATTTTTACCACCTAAGTGTATTTTAACGGGTAGTTTATCTTATTTTTCAAGTTACTAATTTCACTTTTTATGGACGGTTACCTGTAACTATCTTTTAGGTAGAAGTTAAACACTTCTTTTAATATAAAATTAAAACGTACGTAATCCCTTGAAGTATTAGAACATTGAAATACTTTGCTTATTCGATGTCAACATAATTTTGAACGCAGATGGTCAAGAAAACATTTGGTTCCATGCTATTCATCCCACAATCACAAATGGACGAGTTTCCTTCACCAAACTCTTTAAAGAATAAAATCTTAATTTCAACGAAACCACCACCAAAAAGTAGCGCTGAATCAGACAATAAGGTAATAATCACAGAGCGGACATTTGGAGAATGAACTTGATACAAATACTCAGGTTTAACTTGTGCTTATTATTCTCTAGCCCTTGTTTTGTTGGGTGTGAGAACAAAGTCCCACATTGGTAGCTGAAAAGATTGGGAGTCTACATATAAGGTGTAGAGATCTCTTAATGGTGTGAGGCCTTTTGGGAAAAACCGTGCGGGCTTGGCCCAAAGCGGACAATATCACACCATATTAAGAGTGTACTTGGGCTAGTTTAGCCCAACATGTTTTGCATGTCCTTATCAATGTAATTTAACGTGTTATAGTATGTTTTTTTTTTTACATTTGTCACTGCATTGAACTCAAGTTTCTAAAAAAACTGTAAGGGCAGCTTTACCTCTTTAAAACCGGGGTTAAAGCATTATTTACTTCTAGTACATTGATCAAAAGAGGACTCAGTCCCTGCGATCACTATCCTGTATTCCAAATTTAGTGTCCAATATCTCTTGTCATTTTATTCCCTCTCCAGGCGACCCCCCCCCTTGTTATTTATATTCTTTTA